AACAATTGTTTGTATTTAGTTATAGTGTTGTGTGCTTTGACAGTTAAAGATAATGTGTTTCTTGGGAGCTTTCTCAATATTACCAAAAAAGATAATTTTTGAAAAATTTGAGATTTTGCGAAAAGAGTTTGTTTTACTTAATTCTATATTTCTTTTAACAATAGCTCAAAGATATTTAATATAATTTAAACCTGGATTATTAAAAGACCAATCTATAATTTTAGAAAAATTTTCATTAACAAATATTTTAATAATTTTGCTTATATATTTTGGATTATTGTCATGTTGAAAATAAAAATTATTTCCAAACAATTCAATAATTTCTAATTTATGTTTTTGTAAAATATTAACATAAAATTTTGCATTTATAATTTCTTTAAAACAAAAAAAAGAAGTTTTTTTTTTTATACAAAATTCTCCCTATACAAAAATTTTGATATGATTTGTAGATATTCTTATAACTGGTCTTGCATTTTTATACTATTTAGTAATTATATTTCTAAATAGTTGAAATGCAGAAAATAAAGTCTTTTTTCAATTAATTAAGATATTTCTTTGCTTAAATAACATAAGTTTTTTTATAAGCAATAGTAATCATAAGAGTTTCTAAAGGTAGATTATTTTTATAATCCAAGCTTATTAGATGTCTTGAAATTGTTATATGAGATACTTTAGTATTTATATTTAACAATTTAATTGCCAAAGTTCTTGTAGAAAGTCTTGAATTATGATATAAATATTAACCAATTGCTTTTAATTCATGTGCAGTAATCTTTTTAGGCTGACCTCTATCAAATTTTCTTGAATTATTTTCTTTAGAATTTAATATTTTAAGATTATAATAAATAGTTGACATACATAGTTATGCCAGTTCTAGAATATATTTTATTTGCATAAGTAATTTCATTTTCTATAAATATAATATAGTTTGATGTTATATATATTTTTAAAAAAATAACATTGTAAGAATAAGTTTATAAAAAAAAAAACAAATTAAAAAATTTAATAATATATATATATTTGTTAAGATATATTGTTTATATATTTAAAATTTCACATGAATTGCTTTTGTTTTGAAAAACTTATTTATATTTATATCATATAAATAAAATTCCAAAAAGTTTTGTTATATACTATATGTATATAAAGAAATACTATAATAAGACTAAACTTATTAATGTTATATAGCACACTTATTATAAGCTTAAGGTTTCTAAATATAATTATAAAAAATGAAAAAGTTGTTTAATTTTATTTTAGATCTTTTTTATCAGTTAAGAACATTATAATCAGCTTTCATTCAGAATTGTTATCTCTATATAACTATTGTAATCCTATAGAGATAAAAATTTTTATTTTTTTAAAAAGTAAAAATAAAAGAAGAAGAAAAAATTTGTATTGATAAAATAAAAACTTTTCTTGATTATTATTTAATTTGATTATCTGTAACTGTTTAACTATTTAATTTTCACTATTCTAATGTTAACCAAGAATGTTTAAGGACACTTCCAAGAGAATATTTTTTGAAAATTTATATTTAAAGACTTTTAACCTTTAGAAAGAATTAATACTTTAATTGGTAATTTTTTTTTTAGCTAATTCTTCAAGAAATTAAAGCTTCATTTAATCAATAGATAGTTTTAAGATCTCTTTCTTCAACTATTTTTGAAATAATTAATAATAAAGCTAGCTTATTATTAAATTGAAATAGAACTTTCCTTTAATCTTAAAGAGAAACAAAATCAGTTCAAGAAAAAAAAAAAAAGACATTAAATCACTTCTTTTGCTAAAAAGTACATATTATTGCTTTACTCTTTCTGCTATTATCAATCATATCATCAAATATAAGTTATATAAAATGAAACATATAAAATTTATATATCTTGTTTATATTTTTTGTTATATGTAAATTAATCAATCTAAATTTCAAGCCAATAATTATTTAGAAATTCCAGTATAACTAAAAATTCAAGGTCAAACTAAAATAGACAAAATTTTTCAAAAAAATTAAAAAAAAGTTTTATGTTTGAAAAGATAGGAGAAGAATTTGAAAAGTATAAAAAAAGAGTTTTAAAAGCCTGTAATAATTTTTTTTAGAGTTTTAAACCTTTAAAGAAAAAAAAAGTATATTGTTTTTATAAGTTCTTTTTCCTAACAAAGTGTTTTTGTCTTTGATTTTATAGATATGATTTTTTGTGTTTACTTGTAGAAATATAAGAAGTTTATTTTAAATAGAGAAAGAAACAAGTAAGAAAAGACTAAATTCTTTGAGTTGTTAAAGAATATATATAGACTTTGTTATAAAGAAAAATAAAATTTTTCTGGAACATTTGTTTTTTTGGATTGGCAAGAGAATCAATAGAAAGAGTTTTCTGTTTTTCAAATAAGTATAAATGTAATAAATAATTAATAATATGCTAGAGAGTTCTATAATATTTTGAGAGATTTCAGGATGTTTTACAAGATTTCAGGAAGCCTGAAAAGTTCTATATTATTCTATAGTATTCTAGGATATTCCATGAGTTTTCAGTTACATAGCATGTGACATATTAAAAGCAAAAAAATTGTTATAGAAATCAAAAAATAACAATATATAAAAGTTGAATTTCAAAAAAATAATAATAATAAAAATAATATAATAATATAAAATAATAAAAGAAAATTACAAGAATTCAAAGTTTTATGATTATTAACAGTTGTTTTTTTTCAAAGCTAAAAGAAAATATAGCTTTTTTATAATATTTTGGTTAATTGTAGGTTACTTATAATTTAATTATTTATGTGTAATTTATCTATTTATACAAAATATTGGCTAAAGAATTATTTGTTACATTTTGAATGATTATTAAAGAAAATTTTTATCTATAAAAGAAAAAAAGAAATTATTCAAAATATTATTATTTCAATAACAAAAAGTGTTTCTCTAATCTTTCTACAATTAGTTACTTAGAATCTCAAAGAAGCTTGCAAATAGGATTTTGAGCTACAGCACTTCAAATTTGCTATGCTGTTCAAAAACTATATAGGCATTATGAGAATTCTTGAAGTAAATAATTAAATACTACATAAAAAATATAATAAAAAATAATAAATTTTGATAAATGATAATAATATATAATAGTATCTATCTAAATTAATAAAATTTTCAAAAATTTTAATAACACTATAATAAACAAATCAGCTATATTTTGTACTGTAATTTTGTTAGATCCTGTTATGATTGCTTCTAGTAAGAATTCAGGAATTTGTATATCAAATACTTCATCAACTTTATTATTATTCTCTTTAATGAACACAAATAGACTGTACCTTAAGTCTTGCTCTACCCTTCTATTATATGGAATTTTTATTTGCTTTGCAAAGCAACTTACATCACCTCCAGTATTTTGTGCTTGATCAATAGGTATTAATTATAATCGGGTGGTTTATGATTATGGGTAATTTTGATAATAGGATTTATCTCAGTAGAAATTGCATTTTGTGTATCAGAAGAGGAAGATGTTTTTTGTACCAATTGTTGCCCTTGGCGAATCTTCTCTTCCCTATTTCTTTCTCTTGCCATATTAACAACCCTTTCCTTTTCCTGTAATTCCAAAAATTCATTAATTTCTTCCCTTTTCCGATGACAAAATTTCTATAGGAATAAGAGATGTGAAAGATTGGCTATCATTTTCCTGATATATGTCAGAATCGAGTGTGTTATTAGAACTATTTTCTATTTGTATCAGAATTTGAATTATTATCAGATATATCAGATGCCAAAGTATCGTTAGAATTTTTCATTTTTGTAGAGGGGTATTAACTGAAGATTGATCGGTTTGCGACTGCTTCTATTCTAATTTCGCAACTCTAGCTTTAAGCTCAGCATTTTCAACAGCAGTATCTTCTATCGTTCTGCTTCAGTTTCGCAAATCTGGATTCATGTTCTTCCAAAGCTTTGTTTTAATTTTAGGTTCGCAGCTTTAAGTTCGATTTTCTTGGCCTCAACTTCGGAAATTTTTTTATAAGTTCATGAATTTCGGCATTCTCTCTAAGTTCAGTAATCTCGGATGCAAGCCTAGAGTTTAATTCTCTCAAGGTATTGATTGTTAATTGATCGTTCGACATTGTTTTATTAAAAAATAGGATATATTCAAAAGGTTAACCACACGAAAAAATATTGGTAATAATCTCCTTTGTTTTATTGATTGTAATAAAAATCAAAAATAATCAATATATTATTTACATAACTAAGTTTTCGTTTGTCTAATCTATATTAATACATTATCTCAATATTAATTATAATCTGGTTTCGTTTGTTATCGATATCTGAATAGAATAAAAATAGTTATTAGTTATATTGTACGAACATGCGGGGTCAAAAATGAATTAACAATGTTAACCTTAGTAAAAACCTGCTGAAAGTTTATGTTGCCTGCCTTCTGCGATGTATTCTTTAGTCGCAAGCCCAGAATCAATTTATTGAAATGCATTGTCACAACAGAAATATTCACACTTAAATTACGTGTTTGGAACTTTCGCCAAAAAATAAATTATTGATCGTTATTTCTGATTGCAGGTTCTGACATACACACATTAACATTTTGGATTAGCTTTAAAGAAATCTTCGATAAGGATATGGTCGAAAGAACCTTACGAAATGTGTTATGGTGGGGGCAATGTATCGTAAATTTGGAGGGAATGTTAGATAAAAATTCTAAAAATTGGCCGTTGTAATAGTACAACGTTGATAATCGCTTATCGTCTAATCGATCTGTTGTACTTGTTTAATCACAACGTCACGCGAGTCAACTGATGGATTTTTACAAATTTAACGAGATTGAAGACTGGGCGCGTATAAAGGTTTTAAAGTATTACCGTGCGAACTCGGGACAAAAGTACTTGACAAAATAAAAAAGGATCTTTAAATTGTGACATCAGACCCAGCCTTTGACGCGAGACGCAAAAGAAAAGCTCAGGAAATTATAGACAGCTGGAAGGTATAATTATGTTGAACAATTTAGGAAAACCGACTTTTTATTATTAGTTTTAAACGATTATGGAAAAGCTGTGACTGTTAGTCCACAGTTATGAACTGCTAGTTCTTTCAGCGCAAGCTATGACTGTTAGTCCATAGTGATGAACTGCTAGTTCGACGCTTAAGCACAAGCTGTGACTCTAGTCTACAGTGATGAACTGCTAGTTCGACGCTTAGTTTTATGTAAGGTCTCTTTATAGATGCTCCTCGATGAAAAGGAATGGTTCGCAGTACAATCTTAAGTATCAGCAGGTGAACTTCGGGTTTGAAATTTGATAGATAAAAAATATATATATACAGTACTGGCGGAAAAAATTGACAATTTATAATTTTTTCAATTTTGATTTAAATGCTTCGACACCTTAATATTTATTATAGTTTGTAACACAGACTACAAAGTATATTAGTGAATTAATATTTAATCATATCACCGTTTTCTTGCAATACAAGCCTAATGTGCTCTGGCATCAATTTTGACAAACTAAGGCATAAATTTTCAACAATCTTTTCCCATTCTGATGCAATTGTTGACATGAAAATACTTTGTGTGATGGATTTTTTTTCAAATATTATGGTGTTAATTCAGTTTTTGACTTTTTTTTTATTATAGCCCACAAGTTCTCAATCGGATTGAGATCAGGTGAGTAGGATGGCCAATCAAGAAGATGAGGGCAGTTTTCTTCAAGAAGGATGATTATATCCTTGGCCCGGTGCTTCGGGTCATTATCTTGCTGAAACATCCAGGTC